ACCACATCGAATTCGAATAAAAATGAAAATATGCGGGGGGACCTGCATCACACATAGATCAGGGGCGCCATAGCCGTTTCACCGCCCGTGTTTTGTCTCTACCTACACTGACACCGATTTTATCTTCGTGAAACCCACATATTGGATTCATAAGATGCATGCAATGAATGAGATAAATGTTTGGTTAATGGTCTCACCAGGTTGGATCCGTGGATGTTAAGGCCTGTTTACACTTACAATTTTTGCTGTGATTTCTAGTGCGATTTTCTTCTTCTGATGGATGTGAACGAGTAGATGAGTTACGAATGTTTAGAGTACATATACCCTCATCTGAACATTCATTACTTATCCACTCGTTCACATCCATCAGAAGAACAAAATCGCACCTGAAATCGCAGCAATAATTGCAAGTGTATACAAGCCTATCACCGGTGGCGGTGTACATTGTTATTGATATTTTACGCTGGTGTTGGCGTAAATCTTACTAATCAAGGAGAAAAGTTTGGCATTTTCACCTTTTGATGTATGGTTGTGAATGTTTTGATACCATTGATACCAGTTCTTCTGAACTGACGTGACTAAACTGATGAAATAAAGTTGATTTGATTTGATTTGATTTTTGAATGCTTAAACATTAAAAATTGGAATAAAAAATTGAGGAACGCTGGTTTCTTCAGCATTCTCAAACATGCGTGGAAACTCGAATGTGCATGCACCTTCATTTGTGATATATTTTCAGTCCCCTTGATAGCGTTGCATCTATAGTGTCATGCATGTGGCGCGAGATGTTGATTATGCGTACTGGCGATAGTCGGTCGCTCATTGGCGTAACTTCCGTTGTGGAATCTCGAGAGATTCCAACTTGGTGATCTCATATTCTTGATGCTATGTCATGTAAACTTCAATTGCTGCAATCCAATCCAGTTTTCTGTATTTATATTTGTATATATGATTTTCTATAGAAACAAGTGTTAAAATGTTTAGCTGCGTGGACATCCTGGGCAATCTATCCACCTGATTTCTTAATCAATCTTCAAAATATTTTCCTTGGACATTCACAGAAAAGTGTTACTGATCAATTTATTGTGGTAAGTATGTCTATGCGGTTATATTTTGAATAATAATTGGAAAAAAATTTCGTAAGTTTAGTCGGTATTTGTAAAATAAAATCGCTTGTATAATGGACTCAACCTGTTTAAGAAGAGATGTAATCATCTAAAGCATGTCTACAGTACGCATGTCGACGTGCACTCCATTGTGTATGCACTTGATCCCATTCCGTGCTCACATTGTTATATAAACATTGATATTTTGGGCATTGGGTAACAATCTATGAAGCTCCAAACTATTTATTATTTCAAATATGTAACGATAACAGTTTTACCTTTTACACACAACGTCTTCAGGCATAAATTCAATACAATGTGCTATTTTAATGCACATAAACATTAAGCATGCATGGTATAAATCGAAAGCCAAAGTAACGTCCAGTGCTTTCAATGCTGCTTGACTGAGACGCATGACATTTGTTTAGAATCGTAACCGAAACATATTTGACATCAAGAGTGATGATCGACGTGATGATGATGATGATGATGATGATGATGATGTCGCTATATCAGATATTGATGGTTTTCCGTTAAGCAAAGATTCTTCTGATATCGATGGTGTTCCATTAGCTGATCTCGATGGTGTACCAAGTAAGTTCTCATCAAAATGTTTTAGTTCTTGTTCACCAATCACATTGCCGAAATTCATTTTTCGTTTCACTTTCGCGCGAATATAGGCTGTTGTCTGCGTCCCGATATCATTCACTTTCATTCAGCATGTCTTAGATCTGAAATATTTTTACGGCAACTAACACTTTCAAGCACGCTGAGTTCAAATCCGAAAAGTTCCCGCTCCGGACCAATTTCTATTAACCAGTCTTCCTTTTAACAAACTCAAAAGTAACGCGAAGCCAACGTAAAGGCAAAGACAACGCTAAAATGAATAAATGTTCACACAGAAGACAAAGATCAGTCCCAAAGTATAAAATCTGCTCTGTATAAACTTACGACGAAGTGGAGAAATGTGTGCATGAGCTGTTTATTTGGTGATTTCAACGTATATGGAAGCCCTCTTTGCAATAAAATTCGCTTATCGCACAGCATAACACCAACTGATGTAATAGTTCAAATGCAATGATAAGTTACCTCTTGAATTACGTCTCGGAAACCTTGTTGGAAATTTAAATGCTGATCCATTACATAAGATTACCATTTTACATCTTTGTATAAAACATTTTGATCGCATGTAAGGAATTATTTCTCAGCCCAGAGACATAGCCCAAAGACTTAACATTTAACGTCGTTGTGATTTTATAGAGATAGAGTCAGAACTGAGGATTTTAGAAAGCGTTATCTGTACCTTCTCAAAGTTGTAGACAAGATATGTTGTTTACGTCCAACACGCATTAGATTACATAACTCAAAATGATTCCAGCAAAACCGGTCTTTTGTTAAAAGGAAGACTGGTTAATAGAAATTGGTTCTTTTGAGTGACATAATCGTTCGTCGTCATGCAGCGATCCGTGTCGTTGAACAGTGAAAAAAGTTGTGAAATTAGTGAAGATAAAATAGCAGTTTGTGAGAAGACTGCGGGTCTACGGAGCGGGAACTTTTCGGATCCGAACTCAGCGTGTTCGAAAGTGTTAGTTCCCGTAAAAATATTTCAGATCTAAGACATGCTAAATGAAAATCGTTTTCTAGGCACTTTTCGAGGTCACAACACACGGAACACAAAACATTTGGGTTTCCAACCGTTCAGATCAGAAAATTCGAATCCAATTAGAAGGAGGTCCATTTTCACTAGATTTTGAAGAAACCTGCATGTGCCAGATATTTCCATTAATACAGAAACAGAAATTCTGATCTGACCGGTCTGGTCATTAAATGGAAAGTGCCTATATAATAGAGATCCTCCCTAATATGGACAGCGAACACTGGATATCGTCCCCAGAGAATAAATACATATAAATGTAACCTCTTTATTACAAAGATGTCATACCATTTCGTTGGTACATGGAATGCAGATTTGCGTTGTTCATTTCGTTTTGAATGCATAAATAAACACTGAAATGTAGACCTGTTTTTAGTTACTGAACACTTATAGAACTTTCAGTGGAGTCCAATCTCGAACCCAGAGCCATCGGTTTGCGTGGCACGAGATTGAGAGGAATAAATTGCAGCAGGTAGTAGCTATATTAATAATGCCATAATTTACTATTTTAGTGGATGATATTGATGGCAAACCAATGAAGACAGGTAATGAGACCCCGCAAAACAAACTACTGTATATCCCGCAAATTTTGGAATAAAAAAACTTGACTGTTGACTATATATTTTTGTATCTAGCGGTCTATATCAGAGTCATTATATCAAAGGTCCGACTAAACTAGTTACATAAATGAAAGCTAAGAATCTAAAACCAAAACTAGCGCTCAACAGACGTGCCAAACATCTTGGTTAAAACAGCATCCAATATCTTATCACCTGTTGGTTTTACAGTGATATTTAATGAATCTATATCGACAGGTATTGTGCCAGATGTCCTGAAAATAGCTAGTATCACGCCAATCTTTAAGAGTGGAGCAGTGACGGATCCAAATAACTATAGACCTATATCGATCCTATCACCCTTTGCAAAAATATTGGAGCGCTTAGTATATAATCAATTGCAAAGTTTTCTAAGAAAGCACAACATAATTTACGATTATCAATTTGGATTTAGAAAAGGGCATTCCACCAAACAGGCAATATTAGAAACAACGGATTATTGATAAGAACGAAGTAACATGTGGACTATTTCTAGACTTCTCTAAAGCTTTCGATACTGTAAATCACGAAATTTTACTATCCATATTATATAGATATGGAATACGAGGAATTCCACTGCCCTGGTTTTCGAGATTATTTAACTAATCGCTACCAATATGTAAAGTTCGATAACGTTGAATCTGAACAGCAAAAGATGACATGTGGAGTCCCTCAGGGATCAACATTGGATCAATATTGTATATAAATGACATGCTTAATTGTTCAAAAAAGCTTTCTTTTCGAATATTTGCTGACGATACGAATATATTTTATTCGCATATATCTATAGATGAAATTGAACGAGTAATGAATGATGAACTACATCATATAATACAGTATTGTAATATAAATAAAATTTCGATAAACTACAATAAGACTAACTATATGGTAATTACATCTACAGAGAAGAAAGTACGTCATATAACGATTAGCAATATTGAAGAAAAATTGTGTATAAAATATTTAGGAGCTTATATAGACAATAAATTAAACTGGAAGTATCAAATAAAACATGTTCAGTCAAAAATTGCTAAAAATTTAGGTATCTTAAGAAAACTTAGATATTACACTGATTTAAAGATACTTAAACAACTCTATTATACTCTAATATATCCTTATCTTAATTATGGCTTAATGAGTTGGGGTAATACATACACAACTGTTCTTAACAAATTGAGATCCTGTCAGAATGCATGTATAAAAAGCATTTTCTTTGTTCATATGAGAGAAAATGCTACGCCATATTACAATATTCTGAAGTTTGATAACATGTTTAAGTTAAAAATTGGTATATTCACATACAAGATTATTAATGATCAATCTAATATTCCTGCTGTTTTTGGTCAAACTATCCAGCTTGCCTCCGCATGCCATTCGTACAACACTAGATTTGCTGATAACTAAAATTTTAGTAGACCAAGAGCTCGAACTAATTATGGTGTTCATACATTCAATTTTGACTCTTCGCAAATATGGCAAAGTATTGATTCTGAAATTAAACTTGCAAGCTCAGTTACAAGTTTTCGGAAACAATTCGCGCACTTTTTACTTTTTTCATAAAATTAAATACCTCAAATCATCTATCTCGCTCCTAGTGAACTAGTTTAACTAACTTACTGCAGTGGTCAACTCGAAAGCCTAGGCTACTTTGATCATTGTGCACAACTGTTACTTTAATAACCGCTTATAATGTAATCTATGGTATTTAGTTTTCTGTAATATTTTATGTATTTTGTGTATTTATGTATAAATGTGCGAATCCTAATAAAATCCTAAATCCTAAAAATCCATTCCGACTTTTCAGGAAGAACGTACTGAGTAGTTGTTTTCCTCGCGATTTTCCCCGTTAATTTGGTTTCGTGTCAGTTAATTTTTTGCTGTTAAATTAATATTGTTTTGTTTTCCGTAGTCTCCCCCACGCATATCCCGTCGAAATGGGACCACCCTGAACTGGCGTCGAAATGGGATGGAAGTGATACAACGGAATCGAAATGGGAAAGAGTGAAAGAGCAACGAGATACAAGGTGCTGAATATTGTGTTACTAAGGCTTGTGACTAGTGTTGTTTTAGTATGGTGTTTTCAATTTAGTTTTAGTTCAGTTTTAGTTTAATGCAGTAATTTATGTTTAGTTTTAGGATTTTTTTTTAGTTCTAGTTTAGTTCTAGTTTAAAATAGAAATTTTATTTTAGTTTTAGTTTAGTTCGAGTTCGAAAGAGGAATTTCATTTTAGTTCTGGTTTAGTCCTAGCTAAGAAAACATTTAGTTTTAGTTTTCAGTGGTTCAAGTATGTACGAAAATGTTTGTATAAAGGCCACTACTATAGGCCAGGAAAGACCAAATATTATATATTCAAAATCCGCAATTGTTTATTTCGAATTCAAAATTGCTTTATTGACCTGTTCAAGTGATTGAAGTGAATAATGCACTGGCAGCCTGGCAGGACTATACAAACTCAGACAACGTTATTTATAAATAACCCAATGTAAACCAGGGTCGAGGTTTCGAAAAATTGTTTCGGTTTTCCAGTTACAGGAAGTATAAAATCATAGGCGGAAGGCGGAATCGACAGTTTACGATCAGTTCGCGACAGTTCACGATCGTGCACAAAGTCCCCTCGAAGGTCAAATGTTATATTTCAAAAAAATAGATCATAAACAATTAAACCTACAATCTGTTGACTAATTAAATTCTGTCGTTTAGTTTTAGTTGTTGGTGGAAATTTTGCTTTTAGTTCAAGTTTAGTTCTAGTACTTGCTGCTGATTTTGCTTTAGTTCTAGTATAGTTCTTGTATTTATCTCTTAAATCGCTTTAGTTCTGGTTTAGTATTTATCTCTTTAATTTATTTAGTTCTAGTTAGTTTTAGTTGACTAAATTATTTTGGCACGACTAAAATAGGGTTTTAGTTTTAGTTCTAGTTGACTAAAACAACACTACTTGTGACAACAACTAAGTAGTTAGTGTTATAATGAGTCGAGTCATTGACTCATTGAGTCGACTTGAGTCGCTATTTTCTGCGACAGCGAATCTTATCCCATATCTGTGTTAAAAGCGGCTTTCTGATTGGTTTAGAGCAGGTGAGCTTGTCGTCGAGCTCACCTGCTTTTTGCCGCAACTCACCTGCTTTTTGCCCGAACTCACCCGGGAAACTGCTTACGTTGCAATAACAAATACAAACAAATATGGCGGACAAGATTTAGGCGATAAACCTAAACTTTAAAGAACTTTTTTCGGTGACTAACCTATACTGAGACTGAAGAAAAACCAAAGAAAAAATGCAATAAAGGTAATCTAGATGTAGATAAAGAAGTATTAAGAGCCCATTGATTTTTTTGGCCGAGAAAATGTTGACAAAACATCGACGAATATATCACAAAGAGCTACAATGTGTATGGCTCGGTCTATGGGATAAAAACCAAACATACTTGCAGGTTCGGTGAGTCCGGGATTGGACGCACCTCGGGTGGCTGGAAGTCCCCCGAACTCACCTCGCTTCGCTCGGTAAGTTCGGGAAACTTCCAGCCACTCTCGGTGCGTCCAATCCCGGACTCACCTCCCTGCAAGTATGTTTGTTGTAGAGTCCAATACGGAAAATGACTCTCGAGTCAGCAGCCCCAAATGACTGCATGCGCATGGGACTCGACTCGAGTGAAGCTATTGACTCGACTCGTGACTCGACCTTAGAGTGACTCGACCTTTGAGTGACTCGACTCGTGACTGGACCTTTGAACTTGACCTTTGAGTGACTCGAATCATGACTCGACCTGTGGATGACTCGTTAGCACACTGGCTAAAACCGCTGTGGCTGAAACCTTCAAGAGTGAAATTGACCCGAGAATACAAAATATTTCTACGTACGACTATTCATTATTAGCTTCCGTCGACGGGACTTTTATATCATAAACGTATAAACCGTAAATGTTATTCTCTTATATAGTGACGTTTCGAAAGAAATTTCAGTCGATGCTGCAAAAAGTGTGAAAGATATCGACGAAGATAAACGGAAACGATTGCGAGAGGTTGAAATAAAAGTGGCAAAGTATGCAGATAAATTGGAGTCAAGTGGCAAAGAAACTTCAAATAGTATTAAAGAAAAAGTTGAACAGTATAGACAGCAGCTTTTAGAGGTAAGGTTGAAAATTATGACCTCCCACATTAGAATATAGCTCTTGAAAAATCAACTAATTGCTTGTATGTTTCCATGGCGAGCAACGTGTTTCTTCACTTTAGTGGAAAAGAAGTAAAATCTAACCCATACTGTATATAAGAGACAGCGTACAGCCGCAATAGTGAGGAAGGGCTACAACGTTTGAGGAAAACGTCCCAATGTGTTGGCAACCTAAATTCGCACCACTATATTATCCCATATAAGTGTCCACTACTGGCAATATAGATAGATTCTCGATTTTAAATCGTTTTGTGTTTCTATCTAGGAAAATGAGCCGCGTAAATCCAAGAAAAAGAAACGTCATTCATCGCCAACTGAGGAATCTTCCAAGAAAAGAAAATCTCGAAGTCGTTCAAGTAGTCCATCACGTCGTCGTCGTTCTTCATCTTCTTCATCAAGTCCAACTCCAAATGCCTTGACTAAATCACTGCAGGTTTTGTGATTTATTTATCTTTTATAAATAAACTAAGTGCAAGTTTGCTTTAATTGGTTTAATATAAGCAATAGACCCACTGCACTGACGTCACAAATCCTTAGAGCGTCCTCCAGATGCTCCCTAACAATATCTATTCGGGTACAACAACCACACATAGCGCAAAAATTGACCTTTTTAATACAAAATTATTATAAAATTTTACAAAATTTGCTTGTTTACAAAAGTTATATTATGCACAGATTGCTAATTTGTCCTCCAGATGCATCGTCACCGGCGCTGTGACGTCATGTGCAATGGGTCCATACTTAAATAAGTCCTTCTGCCTTGACTAAATCAGTACGTAATTAACATACACCGTAATTTATTTAAATTAGTAGGTAATCAGTCTGTACTCTAGTCCCCCAACATATACGTGTATATTATTATTTCAGTAGTGACATTGTTATGTCACTCTAGAACTCTCTTACTCTCATACTAAATACTATTTCAGTCACTGAAAGGTTATGACTCCCCCGCCTCGTCACCTCACTCCAGACATCGTTCCCCCTCGCCCTCAACGGAATCCAGCAAGAGACGACGTGACAGTTCACCACGGAAAAAATCCTCAAAGAAAAAGCGATCAAGGTCAAAATCTCCAAAGAGCAGTAAGAAAACAAAACGAAAAGAACGCAGTCGAAGTCGCAGTCCTGCCAAAAGTTCTAAGAAATCTAAATGATTCATTTCACATTTATAACAAGATCTTGGAAAGTTTGAAGTCAGGAAAACATTAATTTAAGGACCAACTCTGCATGAGACTGCATTGGCATGGAGTGAACAAACAGATGTAACATTGACGAGTACATGAATCCTTAGCTTAACAATCCTAAATTTACGAGAACGCG